TTCTTGAGGGCTTAACAAGCATGGCCTGGAAGCCTCCCAGGAACAGTCACTAGAACAAGCAGCAATGAAGACACCCAAAGTTATGAAAAAGGGGTAATAGAGTAATACATCTGAAACAGCACCTACTAAACTGTAATCAGAAGAATCAATTTGGCAGAAAATGAATGTAAATGAATGTGCAAAAAGACAGTATCTTGAGCTTGTCATGGGTGGAATAAAATGACAACAATGACAAAAACAGAGAGACAAAAAAGAAGGGATAAGGGATAAATAAAAAGTGAAGAGGGAAGGCAAGGCAATGAATAAAAAGAAGAGCAAAGAGGAAGATGACGGAGATGACGAGGAAGACAGAAGAGGAAAAGAGAGAGGCACTAGGATTCCTTGTACAAGTATTTGAAGATGTTACAGGAGCGCTAGACTAGTCCTCAGATTACCCACGTGGCTAGGAAGTGTGTGCACATCAGGCAGTCTGCTGCCTGTCCTTTGCCCATCTCTGTAGATCCATGTCTCACTGCTCCCCGCTAAGATTCACTTCAAGCAACACTGACCTTATATTTGTAGTTCCAGATGTTTTGCTTTTCCTCATGTTCTTTCACTTCTCTGTTCTTTCACATACTTCCTCTTCATCTTCACCACCACTTAACTCTAATTCATTTCCATGATTCAATTCAGTCTTCTCCAGTAGTCGTGTCCCAACCCCTGTGTCACACAAACACATGTGCAAATGCATACACACCTGTGCGCTTACACACACACACACACACACACACACACACACACACACACACACACAGAGGTTAGGCGCTCCCAACAAGTTCCAATAGCTTACCTCCCTCCCCATAAGGCATTGTATTGAGATTATATGTATTTTTTGCCTCCAACGAAGGGACCACAGTTTATTTTAGCTTCCAATACTGAGCTCAACATTTAATACATAGCTGGTACTTAATTTCTGTTTGTTTAGTTGTCAAAATAAATTGGAAGAAAATTGTCCTTACCACAAGAATTTTAAAAGGTAGATATTTATTTAAAGCAAAAATTTCATCACTAGTGTAACTTAACCTCTCTGGTTTTCTCATCTGCAAAATGGGAAAAGTGACATTTACCAACGTAGATTGCTGGGGAAGTTAAATAACTTTTACAACTTTTTATGGATGCAAGATGCCTGACACATAGGTAAGTGTCCAGTACCATTCATTTATATTCCTTGTGGTGTGTTTGAACATCACTGTATCAAACAGGCTCAAAAGATATGCTGTCTACTCCATACCAACTCATTGAGAATGAGAACAAATTTGGGGGAGGGTTTTACTAACCACACTTAAACAGTAATTTTTTTCAGGATAGTCCATATCTATTGGCAGAAATAGATTTTCTAATAAACATAATAAAAAAAGCAAAAAAAAAAAAAAAAACCCTACACCACAACAACTTGGCATCAGATTAAGCTGTCTCAGAATGAAAATGATCTTTAAAAATTCATTCTACAAGTCCATAGGAGTGAGTCCCAGATTACAGGATTTATGAATAGGAGTACAGCATCAGGAAAAAGAAGGACTGAGCAAAATATAGGTATTTAATGGTTAGACTCTTCCTTTCACGTTGAACCATCCAAGGGAATTAAACAACTCAAAGCTGTATAATAGACCCCAAAAGATTACTTTGCCTTCTCTGACATTAGGCAGATGAATATCTAAAAAACTCAGATGAGATTCTTTTTGAAATTCTAGCAACAAATTTCATAAGTCCCCTGATCATTTAGTTTTGCTGTCTCTCCCAACTAAACTATTTTCTATTTTCTAATTATATCTAATTAATTATATCCCTCTCTCCGTCTTCCACATTTGTATAGATCTTATAATAAGCTAGCCTCTGAAGAACATCAGACACCAAAATGGACAACTGTCCATTTTACAGTTGAGGAAACCTTGCTAAGGGCAAGTCATTGACTCTGTTAGACAACTGCAAAATGGTGGAGAAAGGATTGGAATCCTTCTTTATCTTCTCCATTCTCCTCCTGCCCTTTCCCAGTCAATCTTCTCCATCCCATCTCTGACTCTTATGATTGGAGGATATTTTTAAGATTATTTCTGAGAACGAAGTCCTTAAGAAATGTATATTCTAATTTCAGAATTTTAATAAATTTCCTAACATCTAGTGGCTCCCAGACTAGTTGCTAAGAAAATACAATTCATAAAAGTATTAAGATGAGGGAATGGCCCACCATCACAAAAGGTCACCAACGCTACATTCTTTTTCAATCCAACTACAAAAATCTCCCAAGTGATTTTCACTGTGCTTAAGATGTAGTTTTTTCCATCCTGGTGATTATGCACTTGCAGAATGTGTGGAACTTGAATAATATGACTGAAAAAGCTCATGTGATAAAGACCAGGGACACACCTCTTGTCCAATAGCTTAGAACTATTCATGTGCTACAGCAAGGGAGACCACATGGCCGAGGACAATGGGGCATCCCCCCAAACAAAGGAGGAGAAATGTTATTATAAAATGTTGAGGAATGGTGGAGTTTTGGTAAAATTACATGATATCGTGTTTTCATGGGCCCAAGGAAAAACAGGGCTGTGTATAAAAAATAATTAACACCAGACCTGGGCTGTGAAACAGACCTAGGGCCTCTTTCACTGGAAGCTACACAGTTGACACAAATGGGGAATGTTGTGTCTGAAAGTCATTTGTCTGAAATCCTGCACCTGGGTTGGGTACTGAGGTTGCTCTTCTGTTCAAATGACTTAGATCCTGTCCAGGCAAGAGTGGAATGCTTCCTTCTTCCTGATGAGGCATGGAAGAGCAAGATTTCTGATACAGCCTATAATTTTAGAAAACAGTATTTCTTAGTGCCGTGTTTTTTTTGTTAACAGAAGCAGTGGATTCACAGACATATTTCTCTTTTTAGTTTAGCATCTCTGTATATGTTCCAGAACAAAGAGCAGTATGCTAAACCATGTATCAAGTGAGTGCTTATTTCACTAAAGGGAATAGAATGTGTAATAACCACTGCTACACGTTGTCTATTTTGAGTGACTCTGAGCTGGAAAAAGACTAGGAGACATCACTAATGTTTCTACTCCACAGAAGACCTGTGGTATTGTTAAAGATTTGCCACTCTTTGATCCGTACAACTTTGGAGGAATTCATTTTATAAATCTTGTCTTCCAAAATCTGTGATGGACTATGATGGATCATAGACTCAATGGCCTTCAAAGATCAGGGATATGGTAGACCAAAGGGTATATTTTTTAAAAGCACAAACAAAACACACCCCAGAGGCAAATTTGTGCTAAAGGGCATCAGCATTCCTCGGACTCTGTTGTCTTTAATCTACCTTCCAACTCTAAATATATTTTCTGTAATCCTATTCGTCTTAGCTATGGTGGGAAAAGACAAAGCTATTTTGTTACTCACCAGCTCCCCTAATTCCCCCGGTTTTTGTTTTGTTTTGTTTCATTTTTTTGGTTTTTTTTTGTTTGTTTGTTTTTTTTGAGACGGAGTCTCACACTGTCACCCAGGTGGAGTGCAATGGGGCGATCTTGGCTCACTGCAACCACACCTCATGGGTTCACGTGATTCTCCTGCCTCAGCTTCCCAAGTAGCCGGGATTACAGGCATGCACCACCATGCCCGACTAATTTTGTGTTTTTAGTACAGACAGGGTTTCACCATTTTGGTCAGGCTGGTCTTGAACTCCCGACCTCAGGTGATCCGCCCGTCTCAGCCTCCCAAAGTGCTGGGATTATAGGCATGAGTCACGGAGCCCAGCCAGGATTTCCTTCTTTTATGACTAGTAATATTCCAGTGTGTATGTGGACTACATGCATGCACCACCACACTTGGTTAATTTTTTATATTTTTAGTTGAGACAAGGTTTCACTATGTTGGCCAGACTGGTCTCCAACTCCTGACCTCATGATCCACCCACCTCGGCCTCTCAAAGTGCTGGGATTACAAGCGTGAGCCACCAGGCCAGGCCTTGTCTTTTTCATAATGACACCTTCCCACGTCATAAGCAAACAAACCCTCAGCCAACAAACTAAAGCAGCTGTGACAGAAAGACAATAGATTCCTTCGTAGATACTATCCACAAATTTTGAAATATGTAATACAAAGTACACACATCAAAGCAAGAAAGCAAGAAATAGCCCAATTTCAGTTTTATTTCTAAGAAGATAATCAGGGAAGGGCTTTTGAAATGGCACAGAATGAATGAAATCCCCGTTTAGTTTGACCTTATTGTTCCCAGAGAAGTTCTTTCCCTTTAATTGCTTTACTTATCTTTATCTTGCCTTACTAAAATTTGTGATTACTATGTAATAGGAAACTATTTGAAAGTTATTTTTCTTTCCTTTCCCTCTTCACCCCCAAACAGTACAGCACCATCTACACAGTAAGTGTCTCATAAGTGTTGAGTTATAAACCAACTCAGGTTACTAAAATAAAATCACGCTAGCAGCTCTGGTGATGATTTTCTTATAAACAAGGTGAGGTACTGTGTCGTTAAACACTGGGCCATTCTTTCCATAGCAGAATCAATACACATCTCCTCTTATGAGCCATTTTGGTTTCTTAGAAATTCTTTCTTGATCTCAGTGCCAATCAGAGACCCAGCCTGTGACTCATGAACATCACAGTCTCATGCTTAAGTCATGGAAGACAGCAAACAAGAGGAAAGTGTGATGGTGGCAACGCTGGATTCTTCAAACTTGCACCTTCTCACATGGTATGGTCTGGAAGGATTGGCTGATGGAAGAGCAATTTTTCTGATGATATAAATCATCAGGTATTCAGTTCAAGGGAAAAAGCAGACAGGTAGAAAACAAAGCAACCTCTGGTGATTTGGGGATTGCTGCCTCAGCAGTTGAATCCAGAGTTCTCATTTCAATGGGCAGCTACAACTCCAGGAAATGACCTCATGTCCTAGGGATCATATCTCCACCTGGCCACGGTATATAAAGGGCCCAGACAGGGAGGAGGACATTCACACCTGAGAACATCCAGCTCCTCTCAACAGCCCACCCCACACCAGCCTCAGACACCACCATGTGCGGCTCCTGCTGCGGACCCACCTTCTCCTCCCTGAGCTGCGGGGGAGGCTGCTGCCAGCCCTGCTGCTGCCAGCCCTGCTGCTGGCGTGACCCCTGCTGCTGCCGCCCCGTGACCTGCCAGACCACCGTGTGCCGCCCCGTGACCTGCGTGCCCCGCTGCACGCGCCCCATCTGCGAGCCCTGCCGCCGCCCAGTGTGCTGCGACCCCTGCCGCCTGCAGGAAGGCTGCTGCCGTCCCATCACCTGCTGCCCCACGTCGTGCACCTCTGTGGTCTGCAGGCCTTGCTGCTGGTCCACCACCTGCTGCCAGCCTGTGTCAGTGCAGTCCCCCTGCTGCCGGCCCCCCTGCGGCCAGCCTGCCCCTTGCAGCACCACCTGCAGGACCTGGTCCACCTCCTGCTGCTGAGACCCCACCTCTCCCGGCAACACACAAAACATTTCCAGGTGCACAGAATCATGCAGACTCCTCCACCCCTTCTGGATCAGATGAGAGACTGCACCTTTGAAGCCTCGCTGATCCTCAACCACTAACTCAACAATAACATCCTATTTATTTCCCCATATAATTATGCAGTTAATCCTGGCCCTCTCTGAAAATCCTCAGAACAATTCTAGCTTTCATCATTTGAACTCCTGGCTTGAAAAAAAAAAAAAAAAAAAAACCGAGTGAGTAATAATCAAAGCTCCTCTTGAATAGAACTCTGTCCCAGTGACTCATCACCCTTTTTTCTACCATTTCAGGCTTCTCAGATGAGATTTTTTTTTCTCTAGGATAATACTATTTGTATGCTGTATTTTTGCATTGTAAAAAAATATATAAAATAAAATTTTATTTCTGGGGAAGCAAACACGTTTCTTTTTATGTATTGTTTATCACTCTTCAAAAGCTCATTTTTAGCTTACATTACAGGATACAGAATCAGAAGAATGAAAGGAAGGATTTTCTAAGGGCCATTTTCGAGTTTTAGAATAGGAACAATTCAGGTGGAAGAGCTATAATTTTAATAGCATTTCAGATAAATCCAATCATCGCATGTGATTCACCTTCATATTTTAAGTTGCAGGTTTTATGGTGATGCTGAGGACATGGTGAGAGTACAGTAAGTCTCTGTAAACATAAACTTGACTCATGAATAAGTCACACACATGATAAGGGGGAGGAAGTCTAAGTTAAGTTACAGCCCCATTTGTTCATCCATGCAGAAAACTGTGCACTGACTGATGTCAGATAGGACCTGGGAATCCCTAGCCACTGTATATCTTATGCTGGAGGAGCCACTATCCCAGCTTCTCCATGGTTCCCAACGGCACCACCAAGGCCCGTTCTACTTCCAGTGGAGTGGCTGCTGCTGAGAAGACAGGGAGAAATGAAGCCTTGGCTGTAATCATCCTAGTTTTGAGCTCCTCATACATACATCTTACCATTTAAACCACACCAGTGCGGTTGAAATGGTGATAACATTAATCCATACTGGGTATATTTTTGATCTTGTTAAAAATGTGTAACTTGGTAAGGAAGGCTAACCACTATCATTTCCATGAGAAATATGTTTTTAGTACCTAGCATCTGATATAAAAGAGGCTTTTTTTTTTGGACTGTTCAGCATGTATTCCTGGGCTTATCTATCTGCCCACTGAGAGAAGGGAGGGAAGGTAAGCTTTGTGAGGGCAGGGATTTTTTTTTTTTTAAATTTTAATTTAAGTCCAGGAGTGCATGTGCAGTTTATTATATAGGTAACTTGTGTGTCACAAGGCTTAGGTATACAAATTATTTCATCACCTAAGTAATAAGCATAGTAACAGATGGCCAGGTGCAGTGGCTCACGGCTGTAATCCCAGCACTTTGGGAAGCTGAGGTGGGTGGATCACTTGAGGTCAGGAATTCAAGACCAGCCTGGCCAACATGGCAAAACCCTGTCTCTACTAAAAATACAAATATTAGCTGGGCATGGTGGCACACCCCTGTAATCCAAGCTACTCAGGAGGCTGAGGCAGGAGAATCACTTAAGCCTAGGAGGCAGAGGCTTCAGTGAGCTGAGATTGCACCACTGCACTCCAGCCTGGGTGACAGAGTGAAATTCTGTCTCAAAACATTAATTAATTTAATTAAAGCATAGTAACAGGTGGTTTTTTGATCCTCACCCTTCTCCCACCATCCACCCTCAAGTAGGCCCCAGTATCTGTTGTTCCCTTCTTTGAGTCCATACATACTCAATGTTTAGCTACCACTTATAAGTGAGAACATGCGGTATTTAGTTTTCTGTATCTGTGTTAGTTCGCTTAGGATAATGGCCTCCAGCTTCATCCACGTTGCTACAAATGACATAACATCCTTTTTTATGGCTGTGTAGTAGTCCGTAATGTATACGTGCCACATTTTCTTTATCCAGTCCACCTTTGATGGTTACTTAGGTTGATCACATATCTTTGTTATTGTGAATAGTGCTGCAATGAACATATGTGTGTATGTGTCTTTATGGAAGAATGATTTCTATTCCTCTGGGTCTATACCCATTAATGGGATTGCTGAGTCAAATGGTAATTCTGTTTTAAATACTTTCAGAAACTGTCAATGGCTGAGCTAACTTACACTGAGGGCCAGGGTCTTGACTGACTTTGTTCACTACTAGATTCCCACTGATCTGCACAATATTTGGCATATTGAGTATAATGAGAAATGATGTATTGAATGATGAATGAATAAGTTCTAAGGGGACTGGTTAGAAGAGAGAAAGACAACATCATTCCATCCCAACTGTCAACTCATGCTGGATGTGCATATTCTTAAAATAAAACAATAAACCAATTCATGAAGAAGGATATTTTTTTCTGAAAATATGGTAAAACTTTCTCAACAAGACTATTATATTCAAAATCTTTACATTTTCAGTATGTGTATAATGCAGTTTTATCTTTGTTAACGATTTGGTAATTAATCAATGAATAGGCTCACAAGTCTGATTTCTTTCTATACATTCTTGATGACTGTTTTTAAAATTTGCTAAGTACATCTGTTTTTCTCCTCTCAGAGTTTTTCTTGTTAGCCTTCTAGAGACCTCCTTATTTACAAGTGTTATCTCGGGATTTCCAGCCCCCTGGAATCTCCTCCCACATAGTGGGAGCTCTCTTTCCCCTCCTGGATTTCCCCTCTGGAGTCCCCTTCCACAGTCTTCATGGAAGTCTTTCTCTCTTCTTTTTCTCTTTCTCTACCTAAATAAAATAATAAAATAACTTTCTGGAAAAAAAAAACTGTTTTCTCAAATGGAGACTGCCTTGTTTCCTCCCAAACCTATCATTATTATTGGATCTCATTTATTTCCACAGTCACCCTATCCTCTGGTTGGCCAGAATGATTGGTGAAGATCTGGGTAAGCCTGTAAGGAACAATGCAAGAAGTGGGATCAATAAGAAGGCTTACACTTGAACTTCGACTTCAGATCTATTAGGTTGGTGCAAAAGTAATTGCAGCTTTTGCCATTGAAAGTAATGCCAAAAACTGCAATTACTTTTTGCACCAACTTAATAAAACAGACTTAGTTGTAAAGGAAAAAGTCAGAACCCAGCAAATTAAGAGGCAAAGACCAAAATATGGTTGAGTGACATAATGTGACTACAAGTTATGGCAGTTTGCAACTATTAAAAATGACAATCGTTTCTATAAGCAGAAATGAACCCCAGCATAGCACACAGGGAGATGTTGAAGACACTGAGATATGGGCCAGATGAGGCCTGGGAACACGTTCAACTGGGATCACTACCTAAGGGTTTTGTTATACTGCAAGATTGCAACCTTCGTCTAGATAGAGTCCTTTGACTGCCTCACCATATTGATAGCTTTGTTCACAGTACCCCATGATTAGGATATGTTTTGACATTTTCAGAAGGCTGAGCAGGAGGTAATTCTTCCCATTCCTGAGGCTATTGGTAAGACATAGAGTCCTTTCAGCTGACTCTAAAAATTAGCCATATCACAAATAACTGTTTTCAAAGTAAATACACTGTAAAAGTTCCTAAATAAAATAGACATTCCCTAATACCTGGAAATATGGTACCTACAATCCATTCTTTAGCTACAATGAGTTCTTCAGCTTTTTGGGCTGACAAATCATGTTCCCGCAGATGTTTCTGGAATGAGTATTGGCTCCAACACTTACTAGGTATATGACCTTGGGGAAGCCACTTATCTGGTTCCTTATGTGTGAAATGAGGAATAAACAATATCTACATCCTAAGAATGTTATGAATATTAGATTAATACATGTATTTTTTAATATGATGCTTGGAACATAGTTAGAACTTAAGGACACTGGCTATCATGAAGATTACAGTGAAATTTACCTTGGTTTGGAAAGATACAACCATAGAAATCAATAAACATGTCTCCAAGACAAAAAAACAAAAACAAAAAAAAATGCAGGATGATGGAAGCCTACTGAAATGCATTCTTGTACCTCCAAAAAGGGGACTGGAAAATTCTTTTATGGAGAAATCCTGACTTTTAAACTATTCCCGTAGTATTATCCTCAACTTGTTTTGCCCAGGAAGCTTAGCAGTGGAAAAGAATGCTGACAACTTAAGGTGCTCACTTCACTTCAACTGCTAGCAAGTAAGCCTCAGAGCATGACAGCTACTTTGTGCTATCAAAACAGCAACTGGCAAAAGCATCATTGAATTATAACAATAATTGGAGACTTTGAAGTTAGGTCATTAAGTTCATATTTGAACCATAAATAGCAAAATATAATTGGGTCTCTGCTAAATGAGGAAAACAAATGGAGTTTTATGTGTCCCTGAGCATCTAAACAATGTCTAGAGAACTTACTAATCTGCTGGTGTTATTTCAGAAAGAATAAGTGAAAACAAGGAAATGACCTCATGTCCTGGGGGTCATCAGCTACCAGCCAGGGTATATAAAGGACCCAGAGAGGGAGGAGGACATTCACACCTGAGAACACCCAGCTCCTCTCAACAGCCCACCCCACACTAGCCTCAGACACCACCATGTGCGGCTCCTGCTGTGGACCCACCTTCTCCTCCCTGAGCTGCGGGGGAGGCTGCTGCCAGCCCTGCTGCTGCCAGCCCTGCTGCTGGCGCGACCCCTGCTGCTGCCGCCCCGTGACCTGCCAGACCACCGTGTGCCGCCCCGTGACCTGCGTGCCCCGCTGCACGCGCCCCATCTGCGAGCCCTGCCGCCGCCCAGTGTGCTGCGACCCCTGCTGCCTGCAGGAAGGCTGCTGCCGCCCCATCACCTGCTGCCCCACGTCGTGCACGTCTGTGGTCTGCAGGCCCTGCTGCTGGTCCACCACCTGCTGCCAGCCTGTGTCAGTGCAGTCCCCCTGCTGCCGGCCCCCCTGCGGCCAGCCTGCCCCTTGCAGCACCACCTGCAGGACCTGGTCCACCTCCTGCTGCTGAGCAGCCCATTTTCATGAAGGGTCCCTCAGTAGATGACCAGGTCCATCTTGCTGCCCCTCAGGGCTTCACTGCAGAACAATACACGTTTCCTTGAGAAGCCCTTCCTCATCTCTTCATACTAGCTCACACTATGCATTGAAGACACCTTTTCAGACCAACTACAGCTGAAGAAAACTCTCTCTTCCTAGGACTCCAGTCTAACTCCCCTATCATGTTGTCTGCTTTCTAATAAACTCAGTACTCCTGGCATAGAAATCATGATCTCTGTGACAGTTCTTTCTGGTAGATTGTCTCGCTTTTTGTCTAGAGATATGCAGAATAATCCCCTTACATAGTTCTCTGAAATAACCTAAGTCTGAGTAGTTTTCTTCTAAGCATTGTAAATGGCATTTATGGAGCACAGCTGAGTGAGGAGACGGTTACAACTATGTCTCTATCATGTGTACAGTCACTTGTGCTCAGAATTTTTCATGTGCTCGAACATCTGAGAAATGTTCTGCAACAAGAAACACTCTGGGAGGCTGCACCTGGGTTGAAACTTACGTTCCCAGCCTGAGGGTGTGTTTACTGATCTGACACGTGCTGGCACATCATAGAGCACCCAGGATGTTAGAGGTCGAAGGAGCGTTAGGCAACTTCTGGTAATTACCTCTGTTTTTGGAGTTAAAGAAAAATGGGTAATGTAAGATTAAATAAGTTACTTAGTAATATAATTATAATCACAAAGGTTCAGAAAAGACCCTGGAGAATGAAAATTTCCTGACATTAGACCTTAAGTCAAACACGTCTTCTTAGTATGGTGAGATACATGTTAATCACAAAATGGTTTTGTATTTTACAACTTTCTTTTACACTTCAATAGCCACACACAGATACACACACACCCTAGGAATACATCTAACCAAAGCAGTGAAAAATCTCTACAGAGAAAACTACAGAACACAGCTTAAAGAAATCATAGATGACACAAATTTATGGAAAAACATCCATGCCAATGGATTGGAAGAATCAATACCATTAAAATGGCCACAGTAACCAAAGCAAGCTACAGATTCAATGCTATTTCTATCAAACTACCAATGCCATTTTTCACAGAACTAGAAAAAACTATCCTGAAATTCATATGGAACCAAAAAGAGCCCAAATAGCCAAAGCAATCCTAAATAAAAAGAAAACCAGAGGCATCACATTACCGGACTTCAAACTATGCTATAGGACTACAGTAAACCAAACAGTATGGTACTGGTACAAAAACAGAAAGTTGTAAAATATAAAGTGACAGAGACAAATGAAACAGAATAGAGAACTCAGAAATTAAGTCACACACATACAACCATCTAATCTTTGATAACATTAACAAAAATAAGCAATGAGAATAGGACTCTCTATTCAATAAATGGTGCTGCGATAGCTGGCTAGCTCTATGCAGAAGATTGAAGCTAGGCCCCTACCTTTCACCAAATAGAAAAATTAATTCAAGATAGTTAAAGACTTAAATGTAAGACCTCAAACTATAAGAATCCTAGAAGAAAATCTAGAAAACACCATTCTGAACATCAACCTTGGGAAAGAATTTATGACTAAGTCCTCAAAAGCAATTGCCACAAACACAAAAATTGACAAGTGGGACCTAATTAAACTAAAGAGCTTCTGCCCAGCAAACAAAACTATCAACACAGTAAACAGACAACCTACAGAATGGGAGAAAATATTCACAAACTATGCATCCAACAAAGGCCTAATATCCAGAATCTATAAGGAACTTAAACAATGGAACAAGCAAAAAACAACCCCATTAAAAAGTGGGTAAACCACCTGAACAATCACTTCCCTAAACAAGACATTCAAGTGGCCAAGAAACATGTGAAAAAATGCTTCACATCATTATTCACCAAAGAAATGCAAATCAAAACTATAATGAGATACCATCTTACACCAGTCAGAGCTGCTATTATTAAAAAGCTCAGTAATTGAAGCCCCATACTTTCAGAGTAAAGAAAAAAAAAATCAAAGACAACAGATGCTGGCAAGGCTGTGGAGAAGAGGGAATGCTTATACACTGTTAATGGGAATGTAAATTAGCCACTATGGAAAGTAGTATGGAGATTTCTCAAGAACTTAAAACAGAACTATCATTTGACCCAACAATTTCTTTACTGGGTCTATAGCCAGAAGAAAACAAATCATTCTACCAAAAAGACACATGCACTTGCATATTTGTCACAGTACAATTCACAATAGCAAAGACATGGAATCAACCTAGGTTCCCATCAGTGGTGGACTGGATACAGAAAATACGGTATACATACACCGTGGACTACTACTCAGCCAAAAAAAGGAATGAAATCATATTTTTCACAGTAACATGGATGCTGCTGGGGGCCATTAGCCTAAGCAAAGTGACCCAGGAACAGAAAAACAAATACCACATGTTCTGACTTACAAATGGGAGTTAAACATCAGGTACTCATTGACATAATGATGGCAACAGTAGACACTGGAGACTACTCGGGTGGGGAGAGAGGGAGGGAGACAAGGGTCGAAAAACTATTGGGTACTACACTCAGTACCTGGGTAACAAGATCAGTCATACCTCAAACCTCAGCATCACACAATATGCCCGCTGAATCTAAAGGAAAAGTTGAAATAATGAAAAAAAGTGTTCATAATGTTATTGTTAAACAATAATGTAAAATAAAGCTGTAGAGTTTATTACAGAAAATCTGTTTCCACCACCACGAGAAATCTGTCTAAATCAATTTGGAGACTTTTTTTTTTTTTTAAGGATGCCTCTCTAAGACCTCATTCAGTGTTGCATGGGCTGTGGGTTCTCAGTAGCGCTGATGCTGTTATACACAGTCCTGACAGATGTGCCTCCTGTCAGTTCAACAATAGCTGACTCCCCTTAACGGGGGTAAGTGCTTGATTAGAGGGCACGCTCTTTCTTCCTTCCAGGTGTTTTTAATTTATTTCATGCTATTAATGGAACTCACCACTGAATAATGTTATTTCATGTGTATTCTTTGGTGGCTGAGCAGAGAATTGATCATTTGCCATAACAAATATGTTTGTCTTTTTTCTAAACTTAAAGTTTAGAATTTAGAAATTACCAATGCAACATGACCTTTTACAACATATTTACTTATTTATTTAACAAATACAAGACACTAAGTGCCAGGCACTGTTTGTTCCTAGGACTTGACAAATATCAGCTCATGTAATCCTTACAACAATTCTGATATGAACTATTATTATGGCCCAAGGACATACAGCCAGTAAGTGGCAGACGTTTAAATGAGCATTGTCTAGCTTCAGAATAAGTACGATCAGAAAATAGGGTGTGATTTGCCACCAGTGTCAAACTGCAGAGCTGTTTGTGCTCTCACAACTCTGGGGCATGAATAACTAAAGCATGGCCCATATTTTCTCTGCCTGAAAATGCAGTTTGGCTATGGGGTATTTTGAGAGTATTACAGTGAATAACCACTAGAAAGGTTTACTGAGTGATGCACAATCTTTTTGCATCTTTATAAAGGGGAGAGACAAATATCTTTGGAATTACCTTGGGTCAGAAATTTTTGCTGTAAAGAAATGAGTCTTGTTAACATGATGATTTAAGTCTTCCAAAGAGGCTCCCATTTAATAAAATGTGATTACAATGAAGACTCCACAGCAGTATGAAAATAAATTATGAGATAATATGTCTAGAAAAGAGCAGAATATACAACTTTTTACCTAGTTACCTCTGGTTACCACTTTGAAAAACAAAATCCCCTGTCCATGAACAAAAGAATGTGAAACAAAAAAGTCGAAGGTCTTTAGCAATGAGATTGTGCCTGATTTCTCCCTCCTCTGTTTTCCTAATTGTGACTACAGGTTCAGTTAATTTACATTCCGTTTAAAGTTTTGAAATTATGCTTAAAATTCCATTTGGGGAGTTTTAGATGTCGGGGCCCAAGGCACATTCTTTCAAATAAAGAAAATGATCCTGAAGTGATTCAAAATCCTTTCTGGTGACTAACAGGAGGAGTAAAGCTGGAAAGTAATGGAACTGTTTCCCCCATGTAGTTCCTAAACTGCCCCTGGCAACACTTCCTGAAGAAGCACGTCCATCACGCTTTTTAGCAGTGCCGCCCACAGCCGAAGACTGAGCAGCCTCTCAATGTGTCTCTCCTGAACAGTGTACGGTATATGTGTGCAATGTTGGTTGAAAAACCTTTTCTTGTCACTTGCTAGTCATAGTGCCTACATCAAGGTATGTATATATGTATATATGTATTTCATATGTATATATATATTTTACATATATATTATTATGATTATTTTTGAGATAGAGTCTCACTCTGTAGCCCAAGCTGGAGTGCAGTGGTGTGATCTCTGCCCACTGCAGCCTCCACTTCCAGGTCTCAAGTGATTCTCGTGTCTCAGCCTCTTGTGTAGCTGGGGCTACAGGCACCCGTCACCATGCCCAGCGAATTTTTCGCATTTTATTAGAATCAGGGTTTCACCATGTTGCCCAGGGTGGTCTCAAACTCCTGAGCTCAGGCGATCTGCCTGCCTCGGTCTCCCAAAGCCTTGGGATTACAGGCATGAGCCACTGCGCCTGGCCATCAAGGTATATTAAGAAAAATTTCCCGTTAGAGAATTCTTCATTACATGCACAAGAAAGGCAAAGATAAAAAATGACATGTTTCAGAGATAAAAATCAGCATCTTATGACCAGAAGGACCAGAGGTGCATAGAGCCTGAACTAGGGAAAACATGCAAGGCAGTCTTGGGGGTTTTATTCCAATATTTAGTGGTTTGCAAAAATAAATTTTGTCTGTCCTGTGCAACTATATGAGCTGCTATCCCATTCAAGGCACAGGTGTCCTAGTATATCAAGTGATAATCAAACATATTCCCAAGCAGACTACATGAGACGGCTTGTCTAACACTTGTATGATTCACTTTTCACATGTGGGTGCTTCCAAGGACTTACTGAGTTCACTGCTGGGGTCAGGATAGTCTCTAGTCAGTGTTCTATGTACTCCTCTATATTTTTATTTTCTATTAAAAACTGAAGTGTTTTCAGACCATTTTGTCTAGATTCAATCCAGTGCTATCTACTCAAAGTAAGCATCAAGAGCTGCTATCACATCAAATGATGATGAGTTCTTAGATTTTCACACAGTATGAGTACATCCATACTTGGAGATGCCACAAGAGCTCTTTAATGAGATAATGACAGTGTCACAAGC